GATGAAAACTCATCTAGAAGAAAATTTATTGTCTGCGAAAAAATTGTGAGCCCACGCTACTATATATGACGGAGAATCTAGATATTCTAATCACTATCAAAATACAGTGTTTCACATGATCATATGCTTTGGCTATGTCTAAGGCAACAAAAGCTGCATGTAGCCGAGCTAATTGAAGCCGACTTTTTAAGTCAACATAGGCATCCCAAGTTGAACAACCAGCCATGAACCCAGTTTGACAGGGCTTAGAATTGTCCTCTTAGTATTTAGCTCATTATTACGCATTTTGAAGACCCTCTTAACCACTTTAACTAAATTTGATGTCAGCACGATTGGCCTTAAGTTATTCAACATGTATGCTCCATTTTGATGTCTGAGCAACAATATAATTTTGGCAGACCAATAGGCATGGCACAGAATTCGTAAAGGCCATCAGGTGTGACATAGACCGTCTTAGGCTGATCTTCAGGTGCCAGAGGTACTTGCCAGTAGCCACTCCGTAGGTCACTAGAAGAGAAGGACTACGCACCTTGGAGGCAGTCAAGGGCATCGTAGATTCTCGGTAAGGGGTAAACGTCCTTTCGAGTTATTTTGTTAAGACGACGGTAGTCAACACAAAAGCGAATTGACCCGTCCTCCTCCTTAATGAGAACGACTGGAGATGCCCAGGGGCTATTCGAAGGCTGGATGACGCCACGCTTGAGCATGTCAGCTACTTGGTCAGCGATAACCTGGCGCTCGGTTGCGGACACGCGATAGGGTCTTTGACGCAATGGCGCATTGGTACACGCGCTGATGCGGTGACACACAGTGGACGTGCGGCTGAGGAGAGTGTGCTGGCAATCAAAGGAAGAACGAAACTTGTCCAGCAATCGTAGAAGCTGAGCACGTTGCGAAACGATTAACGTGTCGGCGATGGAGCTGCTCAGTACGTCAGGCCTAGTAGTCTGCGGCGAAGAGGCACAGGTCATTCCGGCGACTTCGTGTTTGGCGGAAGGACCAGTCGGCATGTCGACAATAGCAGAAAGGTCGAGACTGTAAACCCACCCGACGCACTCACCCCGAAGTGGTGTTACAGGACATGACAAGAACTTCCAGATGAGCAGTCTTCTGACACCGTCATGAAGTTCTAGAAGGGCATGAGGTAGCGGCGAACACTTGCGGCAAACGAAGAGGGCATATGGCGTGAAAAGGGCACTCGACTCGGTGAGCGAGTTGCAAGACACCATGGTAAGGGCGAAAAAGTGCGGCAGTATGATGACGTCTTCAGCAACAAATAGTTTGTCCTCGGTTTCAAAAGCATCATTTAATGGAGCGTCGGCAAACACTTCAAATTTCACCTCAGCGCGACAGCAGTCGATGACGGCCTTATTAGCGGAGAGAAAGTGCCAACCCAAAGTGAGGTCATGGGAGCAGGAATCCAACATTAGTAACTCGACGACATAGATGAGGCCATCAATCGCGATGCAAGCAGTACAGGCAGGGGCTGGCGTGACGTGCTCTGCGCTGGCTGTACGAAGTGATATACTTGCTATTGGCGTCATAACTTTTTTGAGCAAGCGGCAGAGTCTGGCACTGATCACTGAAACTGCGGCACCAGTGTTGACAAGAGCCAGTGCAGCGACGCCGTCCACATATACGTCGAGAAATTTTGTTGGGGAAGAGAGAGGCCTTGGTCTTTTCGTAGGCGACGCAGTTCCTGCCTCTGGAACTGCGGCAATCAGTTTTCCCGCTCCGGCGATGAAGGACGACGACGCATCGTCGATGGCGAGCGGCGTCAAGGCGATGCCGAGCGGCGGTATCTATGCGTTAGTTTCCATGCGAATAGGCATCCATGCGAATAGTTTCTATTCGGGAGGTATCCATGCGTTACCTAACGAAAAATTCACAAGTTCTACCAGAATATTAGTTGATTCCTTGAGTAAAAATGCCAATATAAAAAGCGTAATTCCATCTGGTTTTGGAGCTGTCCTCGGGAGGCATAGTACTGTATGACTCAATTCAGCTAAGGAAACATCTGGAAATGCATGCGAGTTTACCAGCATGTGGCGAATAGCCGAAAGATTAGCAATAAAGCGGCGTCTTAAGCCTTTCGCTATGTCTTCTAGAAAGGCGTTCGCTTCTTTCGGTGTCAAGACACGTGATTCTAACGTTAAAGGCGTTAGCATTCAGTACTTTTCTTAACCGAATTTATGCGAACAAAGCATGCTTATTTGTTTAATTGTGAAGATAATCGTATTGTCTACTGTCATATCATTTATTCGCGCAGTTCACTGTACGCCCAAGTACGCCAGCAAGGAATCGATAGCCCGTATAGTTTCTTGGGCATTGATTATGAAGAAGTTTTTTTCCAGGCGGCTTTTCATCTTCTATCATCTCGCGTACACTAATTGTTCCATCAACGAAAGGAGGAAAGTTTATTCGATAGAATAGAAAATTCGGAATTTTTCCTAGGTCCCTCCAGTATTGAGCCAATCGTAGGTGCACTCTTTTTACTACTAGCAATTTGAAGTTTAGAAATAGCAGAATGTAGGCAGGCTTGAAATTTGCAACGGTTGACATATGTGCATTTTGGCAGATTTAAATTATTATTGCACAAGTAATAGAAATAATATGGGAAGATTGTCGCTGTTAGTAGCCGAATCAACAACATCCCATGACAAAACCTCGATTGCATTGGAGCAAAGCTTTAAATCTAATACTGAGATCACAGTATCCAAATGTTACATGGCCTTTATTCAGACACGAAAGGTTGTGGTCAATAGTCCATTCATAAAGTCACCAACCACTAGAATCCGTACTTAGACACCAAGACAAATGATGTGAATTGAATTTCCTGCGAAGACAAATTCCTTTTTACATGCTACCAAAACACGGTCAACGCAACTCGTACTTGGCACACCAGAGGGTAAATAAGAATTCATAATTGAAAAAGGGTGGTATCGGGGGAGACACAAATCTAATGCTACAATTTCACACTCCGAGTCTAGTTAACAATCTAAACTACCACCGCGTGTTTAGCGATCTAATCGAAAGGAACGAACACCTGCAAGAGGAAATTTTTATCTGGGGGAAGCCAAGTTTTTTAATAGAATTATAATATGAAGAATAAAATGATTGCAATAGTAATGTAACTCGGTTGAGACTGAGAATAGAGAACGGCAGTTCCACTGTAGTACCCTCAACTGACCAGTGGTGTTGAGCGCACCGCAGAGGTGCATGTCGTGCCCTTCTCAGCATCCTTGCGCGAAATAGCTGATTCAGTTCTTTTTCGGTTTTGGACTTGAGATAGGCATAGATGGGAGATCTGGCACTTTTAGAAGTTTGAATATAGAGCTCCATTTCAGTCGTAGCACTTGTGCTCTTCTGAGGCACATGTCAGTCCAAGTGCATCTGTGTTCCCGTCTGCTTAGTATTGTCTGCATATGCAGAAAGTGCGTTCAAAACTGTACACATAGAGTAGCTGAGTGGCATCACTGGTAGTTTCTGATACTACAGATTTTGTACTAGTCTGTTCTTCGTGCACCATCTGACATGAAAAAAAAAATTCCACCAAACAGTCAGAAAGGCTAGACATGAGCTTATCCATAGCCTTACTCACTACCTTTTTCACAGCAGTTTCAATAGGCTGCGATAGATTTCAATCAATATACTGGAAGTGTAGTGCTCTGTAATGCCAGAATACCCAAAATGTCAGTACCTGTCAGTAAATGTCTTTATGTCAGTAGCTTCCTTTCGAGAACAGCGGTGGCTGTCAATAATCTATAGAATTTGAATTTCCCGTGGACGAGCAGAACAGTCAGAGTTGTTCTCAGCCAGAGAGAGAGAGAGAGAGAGAGAGAACACTCTCAGACAGAGAGAACACTTTTCCACAGTTGCAGTACAGTCGCTTGAACAATGGCTCTCTCCGCAGGTGCGGAAACGACGGGTAGATTTACATCCACCCGCACTGTGGCCGAATCTCTTGCAGTTTTTGCACTGAATCAGACGAGAAGCGAGAGGCTCTACGCGAAAGATCAATGACCATACCTTAATCTCTGACGGGCTTGTTGTGCCCACAAATCTCGTGATAACAGTTTTGATCGGGGCCCTCTCACTGTTAACTAGGCGATTATATTGGTTAATCGAAATGACGCCTGCATGCTCCAGAGAGCTTGTCCAGTCTCAGCTGGACTTAACTAGAAGCCGACTCCCCGTACAAGGCTTTTGGTACATGCAAGGCGAGGTGGAATGAAAGCACTCACCGGGGTAGCGTGGGACGAGGTGCATTAGAGTAGATCCTGCACGCAGGGTCTGGCCTGATGACCTATACACGATACCTCCTCGCCCGAATGGACGCTCTTCTGTGATGGTCTGGAAATGGTTTGAAGTGGCTTTAAGTTCCGTTTGGACCACCTGAGGGTTCGTTAGTCTTATGAAGACTTTATTTGTTGGTACCGGTGTAACGGGAATGCTGGGAGCACCGCGGTGGAAAAAGAGTCTAGCGGAATTTCGTTAGAAGGCAGGGACGCTGACCAGGCGGATCGCGCCTGGACAGGATACTTAGTTGACATGAAAACCAGAGATAGAGTGGATTCAGAAACAGATATACTGAAAACTCGAAAATGAATACTGCGAAGCTAAAACCACTCAATCCTCAGCCAAGAACACCCAGGAGGCTTCGCATGGGTAAGCTTGAAGGCGTAGAATGTAGGAAGAGCTACGTATAGTAATTACTACGTATAAGCTTCCCTACGCTTCACATGGCTTCATTATCTGTTGGTTTTCATTGAGGTTGTACCGTAATGAAGCAGCAATATTTACTAGCTATGCATAGAGTTACTGCTATAGAGACGGTCCAGGGCTTCTCATACATATCTATTTGCAGCGGCAAGGCGTAAGCGACACGTAGTGAAGAAGACACGTGGATACCAAATACTGTGGTTACAACCTTTTGATATTTTTGTTAAGGGTGCACAAATAATAACAGCCTATCGCATTCAATCTTCTGCCTCACACAGACGTTCACCTTTTCGGTGGTCGGCGAGAACCTGACTCGGAGGCTGCGCAGCATGACCTTCTCGGCCATGATGAAGCAGGTGAGAGCTAGCCCCGATGAGTACCCTGTGGCAGCAATTGACCTAACTTGTTCTCCCACTTCGTAACGACACACTCGATACATGTCTGCCAACTTGTCCAGGGATTACACCCCCCCCCCCCAAAACAACGGTGGCACGATATCTCCGGAGTCGGTGAGCTTGCGCATGCATTCAAAATCAATCACATACAACCGAATGATACCCTTTGTGTCGTACTTAGAGCGAAAAGAAACCCAAAATCTACAACAAAACACGAGTTATACCTCCGTTATAGAAATCGGCACAACACAAAAGCAAAGGAAGCCTACACAGCTGTAGTGCTTTTTGTGTAGTTGTTATGCGATCTTGTAAGCGTCTATTTCTCTTTTGCAGCTGTGGTGCTGTTTGACGTCGATATGCTCACGTTGACACCAAGTGGCACATCTTCATTGCGATGACTAACGCTTATGGTGATTAGTTAACCGTGGTGGTAGCTGAAGTTATGAACTTATATCTGTACACACAGTGTCGTGGATACCGTGCAAAGATGGCGTCAACAAGCACAAAATAAACACTGGTACTTGAAATACACTTGGTCAAAGTGTCTTCAATTACGCAGGGAAACGGCACGATGTGCACTCTCGAGTAGTATTCGGTAACCTGCGCCTTCCTCATGCATACATTTACTAGCACATTGCGCTTCAACATGGAAAACAGAGGTGTTCGTAGCTGGAGCGGCGAACGCACGCAGTTGTTCCACGTCTCGCTGGCCTGTATCTTGCTCGTAAACATGCGCAGGATTTCGCTGCTAGAGGGTAGGGCGAAGGTGGTTCATCGCAGCTTCCCCTGTCTCGTACTTTAGTGTACGGAGGCAACTTTGTGTCCCCACTATAAGGTGACTAGGACGCGGCCAACCACTCCCCGGGCACACGCCTATGCTGTCGCTTCTCTAAGCATGCTTCCAAGGCACTTTTAGGGGCTAAGCTCCTTAAGGCGTGGGTCGGTCGTCCTCGATGTATGAGCACGCAGCCACCTCGTTCGAGGATTCACCGCTACGTGATAGTTGTTGGTGGAATAAACCGATGCAGATGTTATAAAAAGATGGCGTCCGTGTAGCTTTTGGACGAAGAAAAAAGAAAATGTTATACTTACGCTAGGGGGCGCTTTCATTTTAGGAGCGAAGCTCCTTATGCCGTGGGTCGTACGTCCGCCGATGTATGTAGTGGTAGTATTAGTAGTCGTAGTAGTAGTCGTAGTAGTACTAGTAGGTAGCCACATCTCGTTTAGGCCTTGGAATGTGCGCTGAATGGTGGTACTTCTATATGAGTATATGAAGAAAAATATGAAAAATGGCAGTACTTCGAGTGTTCATAGATGTACGGATGAACGGATGGACAAATGCACGGATGGACAGACAAGCTGAGGGACGGATGGACGCGCGCGCAGACAGACGGACGGACAGACAGATGCACGGACGCAGGGAGGGACACACGAACGCACGGACGAATGGATGGACGCACAGATGAATGGACGGACTTGCGGACGAACGCAGGAGTGAACGATGGACGGACCGAACACATGGATGGACGTATGAATGGACGCGCGGATATACGCACAGATACACAAATGAACGCACGGATGGACGGACGCAAGAATGAATGGATGGACGGAAGCGAGGACGGACTGATGGACGTTTCACCCCAATCATTATCATTCAGTGCGTGGATATGCTGTGTTTTTTTTTCGTCTTGGTTGATACAGCGCGCATGAGGTGACGACGAAGTAAAAGAAATGCGATAGGTGCTGATTAACGCACACGAGCTCACTCAAGCTTCTATTCATCCAAGGCACATTCGCCCGTCGACATTGTTGCCTTTCTGCAGCGCTTACTGCAGCATTTTTATTATTGGCGGCGAAATGTCGTTGGTGCATCTGAAAGCTGCTCTACTCTGACAATGAGTCGTCATCCTCTAACACGAATTAAAAGGCAAATGACATAACTGCGTCTACGGCGAATCCTTTATGCTAACGCAGCCTATGTTTTTTGATGCCATCGAGACGCTAACGATGGCCTCCTAGATTGCGGACCGGCGTGCGATTTCGGATGCCATTCTTGAACTGCGTCGTCTACGAATCGTTATTTGTCGGCGTGGTCGTCACGGTCAACTTTTGTTGACAATGCAGCGAGGCCTACAGAGGCCAAAATGCACGTATCTTACCAGTAGTTATTGTAGTCCAACAATACTGTCCCATTTTCTAGGCGAAATATGTAAAGGCTACCTTCATTTTTTCCATGCAGCTCTGCGACACAGGTCGCGGCTCACACTATAAAAGTATTCGTACTTGCTTGCACTTATTTGTTGTGATTTCGCGTTTTGAACGCGTAAGGAAAGCCGCTCCTTTTACATGTACCTTGAATGACAAGCGGCGTCTGCGTTGATGTGAAAACGCTAGTAACGCACAGCCATCACTTTCCACAGCAGTACAGAACGCATGGCCTACCAGACTACTTTGCGTAGTAGTACATAGACCTCGCCCCTGTAGCTTTTCCGTCATTGCCAAGAAAAGTTGTCCGCCAGGAAAAGTGGGCATTATGCCACATTACTTCTTGTCACAGCTCACAGAGGGCGGCACTGCTAAATGAACAGAGAGCACTGTGCCAGAGAAAATGCGTGAGAGATATAAGGTGCGTTCATAAGAAGCCTCACTACTGCCCTTCTCTACCTTTCTGGAAATAAATTCTCTCTCTCTCTCTCTCGCAACTGCCTTTATTGCCGAGTCGGTACAGCACCGGGCTCAAATTTGAGGCTCAATTCTTGAGACAGAGGTTATTGAAATATATTATCCTCCAGGGTTTTGTCGTGGCTGCACCTGCGGAACGCAGGCGATTAGCCGCGACCTGTGGAATACATATGGGCCGCAGGCCAGGTAGGGCTGGTACGCAGGCTAACGAGCAACCGCCGCTCGCATCTCTCTAGGCCTGTCTCCGAAAGGGATGGAGGAGGCTCGCCACATGCAAACACGTATCTGGGTGGGCCGCTGGCTGGAGGATCCTGTGAGGAAAACTTCCCCGCTGGGATTTGTCTGGTTGGGCCATTTCTAGATTCAAGGTGGGGAAGTAAATTGCCTTAGTCTTTTTAATGCGAAGCATTTCTTAGCGAACTTCGGCGACTTCAGCCATATTATCTATCTATCTATCTATCTATCTATCTATCTATCTATCTATCTATCTATCTATCTATCTATCTATCTATCTATCTATCTATCTATCTATCTATCTATCTATCTATCTATCTATCTATCTATCTATCTATCTATCTATCTATCTATCTATCTATCTATCTATCTATCTATCTATCTATCTATCTATCTATCTATCTATCTATCTATCTATCTATCTATCTATCTATCTATCTATCTATCTATCTATCTATCTAGTCTGTCTGTCTGTCTGTCTGTCTTCTGTCTGTCTGTCTGTCTGTCTGTCTGTCTGTCTGTCTGTCTGTCTGTCTGTCTGTCTGTCTGTCTAGGCGTCTATGACTTTTAGCTCTCCTGGCCGTTTGAACAATAGGATCTATACCAAAATTGGTATGAGATAACATGAGTGTATGACAGTAATACACTCATGTAATAACAGTAATACACTCACATGAGTGTTTAAATGATCAGTAATAACACGGTAATCATTACATGTATGTCATGAATGTCATAATTCACATTTCATGATCATGCTGCTCTTGTGGTGGTTTCATATACATGACATATTGCAAAAGTGGTATGTTATGACATGACTGCATGGCAAACAGAGTTGACAGGTACTAACGTGTAAATTATGGCATATATGTCATGTAAGTCATGAGTCCCTGCACGCGACGCTCATGGTGCACTCGTGGTAATTTTGATAGCTTAACATACACCCAATTTGGTAATATAGGACGTGAATGACTGACGAATGTATATGACTTGTGAAAACATGATACTAATATTGAGGTGCATGTCATGTAAAACTATGACTTTATGCCACGCTTAAGATGCGCTTTCAGCCGCTTCGCTAGCTTCACATATACAAAACTTGGTCTTACGTGACGTGAATAGACGACAAACACAAATGCCAGGCGCAAACAATTATCTTGACACTGAAGTCATGTACGGCATAATTTACGTCCACGTCGTACCGTTGTGCTCATTTTAAAGTGACATGCCTCATTCGTGCTTCGCATATTATTGATTCCCAATTCACGTGGAATCTGCCAATCTTTTGTCACTTGATGGCGTTGATTTTATCAGCGTCATATCAGTGACAAAAATACGTCCACAAAGACTTGGCGGACCCCATAATAAAAGGCCTTTGTGTTAAAAAAAAAAGAAAGGGGCGGGAGGGGCACCCACAATATGCAGAGTTAAATTGCACAACATAACAAAACAAAGTTATGGATAGATTTGTGAGACGTTCCACTCACATTTACTAGTAGTTTTCGAATGTACCCTAAGCGAATGCCCTTGCACCTACCTCGTGGAAACGTGTTATTCTCCCCGCATAGCAATTGAAATGGTGAAATTTAGGGGACAGAGAAAACGACACAGTGATGATTGGGTCCGGGCCAGATGGACATTGCAAAATCTTTTTGTTACTATATGTTATTTACTCGGCATTTTACGCTTCTGACCTACTAATCGCACGAAGATAAAATTTTCCACACAGGATGTACAGAAAGGCACCCGTGCGATTACATGGATCGGCTTGGCTTGTTGTGCACGTGTCTGTACGTGTGGGCGAATATTGTGCGGGATCACCAAAAAGTAATATCTATTTTAACCATGCAGCATGTGTTTCACTAATTCACTGAACCACACGCGTGCTCTTTTTGCTATGCAAAAAGTATGCAAAAAGTATGCAAAAATTATTGAACTACCATGCCATGTCATAAGGTAGTCCATATCAGCCTAAGTGTACAATGTATTTGAAAGCCACCGCCTCGCTTTTAGTGGTGACCGAAGCACATCTGTAGTAAATCGCCTATAATTCTAAGTTCTTCAACGTTGTTATAGAAAAACACTGGGGTCAAACGTCGGTTGGCCAATTATTCAAAGAAGAGCTTTCCTCTAAATCTATCCTATGCGCTTTTCGAAATGCACATTTTATATTGTGCAAAGCAGTTCTGATATCTATGAGTAACTTAAAGTATTAAACTGTGCATGTTTAAGTAATTGTGCTTAATATATGCATGTTTTACGACTCGCAGTTCATTTATGGTAATTCCTAAATAATAAAAGCTACATTATTTATCGTAGAGAATGCTTTGGACAATAAAGATAAGAGGCGCTAAGACTTTTAGGCAAGTGGAGTAGATAGGCCCGAGATCGCCCTGCCGTAGTAGTTTTTCAAATATAAGATGAAACGGAGTGACACTCTACAAGCTGAATTCTCCATTCTTGTGTGCTGACAAGCAGGTCGAAAGATTTATAACAAGCGGACGGAAAGTCCCACCCAAAAGTTGCACCACAACTGTGAAGGATTTGTGCACTTTTTCTTCTAGAATATTCGGCTTGTGCTCAAAGGTTTCCGTGTTTATTCTTATTTTTTATACCTTGGAAACAAGCTGGCTAACTTTTACAAAATAGGTTGTGGCAAATACGTTCTGCGAATACCAACGCGCTGCACGCCCCGCAGACGCCCCATTTCAAATAGAGTTTTCGCACTCCTCCACCAACTGTCCAGCACCAACGTATACACCCGTGAAGCGATGTAATGTCGTTTATGGTCAGTATTACGTGGCCCTAATTTTGTCTATTGATCGTATGTACCATGTGAAATGGCGCCTTGACCCTGTGGCACCGTCGTGGTGGTCTAGTGGCTAAAGTACTCTGCTGCTGATCCGCAGGTCGCGGGATCAAATTCCGGCTTCGGCGGCTGCATTTCCGATGGAGGCGGAAATGTTGTAGGCTTGTCTGCTCAGATTAGGGTGCACATTAAAGAACCCCACGTGGTCAAAATTTCCAGAGCCCTCGTCTACGGCGTCTCTTATAATCATTTGGTGGTTTTGGGACGTTAAACCCCGCATATCAATCAATTCTTGAGTCTGTCGTGATGCGGTTTTGGCCGCGTAGTTGTCGTGCTTGTTGAACTCGCCACACTCTAGCACTGCGCTTCTTCACAGCGCTGCTCTGACAAAAGCAATACGTGGGGAAAGCATTCTACAGTAGTTGTCAGCACTTCAATGGTGTAATCGCTGACATAATGTTAGCTGCCGATGTGGGCCACCTGAGTGACCTCGACGGGCTGCCCCTCGGCGCGGCAGCAGCACGCTCACATAGTATAACTGCGCAGTTATCTATTCAAGCCCAAATATTAAACTGAGGCCTAGTTTATTGCTCTTCATTGTGTTATAGTCACGATTCCATGTTCAACGTACACGGTGCTTTATAAGTGCACTTTTGGCTAGCTCAAATTTTCGGCAGTTCTGCCACGTTTACGGTTGCATGCAGGGACATGTTCACATGCTCACAAGGGACCTATTAGAAGACCGGCAATGCGTTCACGTGATCGAAGATAGTATTCTCCTGAATATCAATTTTCTTTCATCTGTGCTGATCGCCTCTGCTGCAGGAAGTTTGAAAATTTCACACCAGTTAAAGCAAGCCGTTCTAGACAGGTGCTTGTGCACTTCATCGTTTCAATCGTTCAGAAAAGCAGTGTTGCCTTAAATAGGTGACTTTTTTTTCTGCCTGGAATCACTAAGCGATGCAAAGCAAGGTAAAAGGTAAAGAGAGGTTTTGATTGCCATCGCAGGACCTGGCCTGGTACGAGGAGCTGGAGAACACGCCCAATGCTCTCCTCGGTTCCTTGTCAACGGACACGGCTCGAGTTCACGGAGTAAGTAACCTTTTCGCTCAGGACAAAAATACATCAACAGGAACGAAACGAGGACGACGCGATTGAGTATCGTGCCCTTTCCTTTCAACAGTGTGGCAAAATAAAAAAAAACATTTGTGCTCGTAACATTCGTTTCAAACTATCCTAAAATGTCTACGGAATGTATGAGGCCGTCATAGTTCTTCCTTTTGGCGTTTGGACAAATACCCACTAATTGCCCATAAGTGCCACGTGCATGTTAGCAAGCAACACACTTTGTAATGAGTGGGCAGCTTGAGACCACCTACTCACCGGGCAATTCGCTCGTTTTGAAGCCGGGTGCAATTATAGAGTTCTGTCATGCAATAATAAGTGCGCTAAGCGGACTTCTACTACGTAATGTGTCATATAGTGTTTTTTCTTCCAGAGTTTCCAGCAATGATGTGGCTGTATGGTAAAACATCTGCTTGCCATGCTGACAGGCCTGGGTTTCAATTTCGCATTGAATCAAACTTTCAATAAGCTGTTTGCATCTTTATCTAATTTTTGGTCATGAACAAGACCAGCAGATTTCTGCGAAACGAGCTCTTTAAAGCGATCGCGTGAACTACTTCTTCTTATGCGTCATCGAGTTTTCCCTGTGACAATCCTACTACGCTTGAATATAAACATAAATAGAGGGAAAATGAAGACCAAAAAAAAGGGAAGACGAGAGAACTAAAGGGACAGAGACCTGGAAAGACAGTGATATAAAAGAAAAATAGAGATAACGAAAATGCAGCAAAGGAACAAGAGAGCAAGACAGAACGAATTATACAGAAATATGTTCGTCAGGAGACTTTACTAAGTTTCCATTTTTATTTCTATTTCAATACCTGAAGCGAAATATCCCAACTGCACGTTTGAAGACTGACGTGGATCGTGCCGCATGCGTTAGACTTGAAACGAACGAGCTCAAAAGATGCGGTTAGATACGTCCGTAGTAGTGCCCGTGGTCTCTAAAAGGTATTCCAGCAACATTTGTTTTATTTCAGATTCATTTTGCCTACGTATAACTTGCTGTCAGTGAAGTTTAGTTCACATAATGTATATAAGCTCCTTGTGAGTTTTAAAGTGTTCACTCTATTTTGCCTCCGCATTATCTGGCAGAATATATTCATTAAAAACAGAAGTGTATCAGAAACAGAAGCGTATATAAACAGAAGTTCATGTATCGATGCGTTCCTATTTTCGAAATGTAACTATAACGCGTTGCTTTTTCTTCACCGGAACTTGTAACGGGGACCCGATCTAATATTGGGAAGAAACGAAGAACGAGATTTCTTTCCTGTGGTACAAAGACGTGTACAACACTGCATACGATATTGCCACACGAAAAACGGCAGATGCCGGAAAGCCCACAATTAAGGGAGCACCATCTGTTGGAAAACGGCCCACGCAAATACTCATGGGGCCGGCGCGCCCGATTTTCTGCACAATTGCATGGGCTGCCTTCTTTTTTGCGGTCAGGCCTACCGCACCACTTTGTGAAGCTTACCCTTAAACCTTGATTACTGGCGCTAAGAACACCTTCGCCGAGCCGGTGCAATTCTACACTGTTTCACTGGTCCCCCATTCGTAGAATAGGGCGTCAGGGGAGCTCTTGAAACGACATTTGCTGTATGTACGTACGTTCATGCCAGGACAATGTCGCATATATTCGCAAAAAAACTTGCTGATTTACTGCATTGGAAAGTGTGAAATGGTAGACCATCTCACAGATAAAATATAATCATGGGGAAACCATATCAATTTTCTAGAATGTCGTCCAAGGTTGTTTGTAAGAAAACCTATTTGAAGAGTATTGTTTCTTGTTTCAATTTGAAATTCGGTTTATGTATGAATCGAATGCGTCTGTGTGAGACATTAGAAGCTCAATAACATTTATACTTCTTACGTATACACGTCCAGAAAGTTTGGCGGAAATAGTATGTTTGCATCGTTTATTTGCATCGCGTGGCAGGTTTGAACACATCCGTAATGTATACTTGCTCTGCAGGTATACTTGCTCTGCAGGTATACTACGCGATGAATTTTTTTTTAGTGCACAACCGCTTCTAAACCTTACAAAAAGTTGAGGTTTTAGAAAAGCATCATTTAGTGAACACAATGATACGCAACTAGCACCACGTGGTGCTCCAAATGAACACATGTTTGTAGCTTAATCAAAAGCAAACAAACAGTTCTGTTATATGTAAAGATTATTATAACAATTTTTATTCGAAGGAAAATAGAGTTTGACCTTTCCCATTGGTGGTAGTAGGAAAGTTCAGTTTTGAAGCTGCCATATGTCTGATTGTTAAGGTAGCCCTCAATGAAAAACTTGAAAGCTTTGGAACACAAAAAAATATCGCGAAATTTGTCTCATAGCACAACTATGCATACAACATTCTTCTGAAGTTTCGCAAAAGGTATAACACAGGAAACTTGCAGAATTATTATTGAGCCTCGCCCAACACAATTAAATGCATTTGCTTAGTGTATAAACTACATTTAGTGCTGAAACAAGTAACAATTATTTCAGAACAAACTTTTTCATAAACAACAGTCCTACAACATTTTGTGAAATTCATACAGCTTCCTCGTGACCAAAAACTTTTCGAAGATATTCTTGCAATTTTCTGGTTTCAATGCATCAAGTCGGCCAAAAGATTTTTGTACACATTTTTCACGGCTGAAAAAGGTTGGGGCGCAAAGAGTGGAAGGACATTCCTCGTGAGTTGTCCAAGGAATCTCAACGTTCTTCGGCATTATGAGCAGCCACTTGAAAGACTACAGAAAAATACATGTATGCCATCCAATTTTTGCGAAGGATGAATTTTCCTTATGCGCGCTGTAAAAAAGATTTATTTTACCGCCACGAAAATCGACAAGGACCTCCCAGAAAGCGTTCTCGCTGGCAGCTTTTTCTTTTGTCACCACGTGTACATACGTTGGTTATGATAGGTGTACAGAGGCTTTCTTTTATTAGCTCAAGCATGCTGTTTTTTTGTGTACTAGAATTGAATTCACCAATATTTAGAGATTTCAATTAGCTGCTAATGTTTTCCTTCGTAATAACGTTATAAAAAGGAGAGCCACTTAAACGAGAAAGCGTATGGTGAAGTTTCAATAATTCAGAAAGTATACTGGGTGATCTGGTTTCAAATGCAGGTCTCAAAAGCAAAATCTTATCAGGTGCTTTCTGAGCCAGTGATTCGCTGACATAACTTGTCTTGGTACAAATGCTTGTGTCGGAATGATGTGTCCGCGGACTGTACGGGTTCCACCACCTTTCAACAAGTCGTACAAATGCTATCCACTGAACTTGTCTCGATTAAATATCAATCTTTTGAAGAGACAGAGTGAAAGTAGCTCATTTTTGTGCTACGCCTCAAATTGACCCACAGGTGATATACCATGGATAAAAATGTGGAAGTAAGTTGCCATGAAATGTGTGAAGCGTTTTTGTTTTTAAGAAGCACGCGCTTCGTGTTCAGGGCACGTGCAGCAAGCTGACGTCAATGTGCCAGGCGTTCTCGGCGCTGGTTGCGTGCTTGGTGATGTCCTTCTACTGGGACTGGCACCTCGGCTTCATCGTACTCGCCTTTGTGCCACTGGTGCTGCTCTCGACGTACCTGGAGAGCCGCATGCTGCGAGGGAAGCTCATCTCCTCCAAGCAGGCCCTGGAATACTCCACCAAGGTGAAACGAATCTCCGACTTCCACAAGGAGCTTAGAAATGCATTTATTTCCTGTTCAACACATAAAGCGATAACGTTGCTTTCCTATAATTTAAGGTATACAATAGGTATGCTTGTAGTGTTTATATTATGGGCCTTTAGTGGTTCTACACCTTTAAGTTGCTACCACCTATTGACACGCTATCATGTCGTTAATAAAGGCCTTTCAGTTTGGTTCTTGCAGAGTGTGGATGTCATGCTCTGTAAAGTGAGCTGTACAAAGAACTCCACTAGCTGGACAGCTTTGTTGGGGCCTCTATGATATAATTTTTTTGATTCGGTAGAATCCACTCATCGTGGAAATGCAAGGCAGTGAACGGAGTCAAAAGTCAGTCATTTGAAGCAGTTAGTGAGTAGCACACTATGGCGGATTTCAGTTGCGAAATATTTCCTAGCGAGTCACAGGCACTTAGACCGTTTATGTCCGTCCATCCACCCGTCTGTTCATCCGTCCATCTGTCCATCCGCCCGCCCAACTATCTATCTATCTATCTATCTATCTATCTATCTATCTATCTATCTATCTATCTATCTATCTATCTATCTATCTATCTATCTATCTATCTATCTATATCTATCTATCTATCTATCTATCTATCTATCTATCTATCTATCTATCTATCTATCTATCTATCTATCTATCTATCTATCTACTATCTATCTATCTATCTATCTATCTATCTATCTATCTATCTATCTATCTATCTATCTATCTATCTATCTATCTATCTATCTAAATCTATATATCTGTCTGTCTGTCTGTCTGTCTGTCTGTCTGCCTGTCTGCCTGTCTGCCTGTCTGTCTGTCTGTCTGTCTGTCTGTCTGTCTGTCTGTCTGTCTGTCTGTCTGTCCGTCTGTCTGTCTGTGTCTGTCTGTCTGTGTCTGTCTGTCTGTGTCTGTCTGTCTGTGTCTGTCTTTCTGTCTGTCTTTCTGTCTGTCTGTCTGTCTGTCTGTCTGTCTGTCTGTCTTTCTGTCTGTCTGTCTGTCTGTCTGTCTGTCTGTCTGCCTGAGTGTGCCTAGGCAGACGACTGTCTCTTTGCGCTGTTGTGGTCATCTCTTTAACTAGGTCTGCCCAAAGATTGGCATCGGAGGACGCGAATATGACGAACTACATTCGCAGGCAGAGTTTCCACTGGCTTTCAAGTGAAATTAGCCATAGGACGAGTGAAATGTCGCCAAGAGTCGCCATTTTTTATGTCTCGCCAACAAATTTGCCATTCTGGGTGGCCTGCCTATTCACAAAATTTCCTAGTAATGTGTAGCCTTGTAGAGTATGGTACTACCCATAAACCTTAGACAGCATTGACGTGTTTCAATGCCACATCACCCACTATACCATCGAAGCACTAAGAGCATGCTTGAACTGGCAGTGTACCTGAATGATAGCACCTCAGAACAAAAGTTTGTGGTGGTTGCAGCTTCAACAAATGCTGAATGAAGCATTTCTAAAAGGTGATTCGAGTGCGAACACACGACACGATCACTCACACGCGCGCACACCCATGCATCAAACAAGCAGTCGCTACAACAACAAAGGAATTGCGTGCGAGGCCGTCCTGCAGATTTAGAAAATTTCATTTCAGTGGAATCTTGTGTACGATTACCGAATGCCCTAATTACAAAGCAACTGAAATAAATTCGGAAATGCTGCTTTAACTGTAGAAATGATCTCACCACAATTTGGGTGGTCATGCTTACATTATACATTCGCCTCACTGCAGTTTCTGAAGGCTGCTCAAAAAAGCCCAACTTTTTAAACCACCCGAAGACTATGTTTAGGACAAATTTAGTCTCAGCACACCAAATTCAGGGCTACTACATTAGTGAAGAAGTCGAGAAGCTATTCACGACAGTCAGAGTTGTGGTCGGAACACGTGGCTTAAACGTCACCTAGCCACCTCAAAACAAAAACATTGGAAACGTTTAAAGTTCCTAAAGCGCCAAAAAAAACTCGGTATAACACCACTGCCTTGCGGAACGCGTAGCAGCAGTCTACACTGGTCCAAAGTTTGCTGGGAGCTTGACGGAAGCAGCAGTTACCTCCAGGATCTAGGTTAATTAGGAAATACACTCGAGAAAGAGTAAAGACCAACTAAATTGTGCATAAAGTACGCCTTCTGCTCGTGGGTCAAAAGCAACAAAGAATAATAAAAAATGTTGTTTCTGATTGTTTTGAAGGCACTGACTATAGAACTCTATCAAGACCTAACCCGAAAATCGCATATATTTTACCATGTCGCCATTCATAACTTTAGGTCGCCAAGGGCTTCTGAGTGTCGCCTCTCAAAGCCAACAGTGGCAATTTTGTTCGCAGGTTCCAGCACAGATCGCGTGGCTTCCTTTTCTTTGTACACTATGTAATTTTTCTGTGATTCACGCGCGGCACATACCCGCACTCTGCAGACAATAGTGTGCGGGTGTGTGCTGAATCTAACTGTAAATGTGTTCAGGCTATATCAACCCAGACTTCAGAGTACTTGAAGCGACAGTGGAAAAAACCCGTGCTACAGACAGCAAAAGCAGCGTTTGTGGTAGGTGCAATTTCTATATGGAAGCGTACAATTATGATTATTAGTACTCTTAGAAGTCGAGGTGTATACGAAAGCCCGTCTAATTAGGAAGTACCATGCGAATTGAAAGTACACCGACCATTAATAAAGTACGCGAAAAATCGTATCGGCTCCGTTGACGGGAGCCTTGTTCAAAATATTGTAAACAACGCTTCCGTCAGGGGAGCCAGGACGTCTTCTTCATAAATTTATATGGTCGATGTTGCTGTGCCGATACGTTTTCAGTACTTTTTTATGGTTTTATGTTGGGCGTGAACACATCAGGGGCCACTACACCATTTCCCGATAGCACTTTGACTCTTGATTTGTTTTCTCCTTGCTCGATAGATATTTATTATATTTATGCTGTTTGGTCGATAGATAATTATTATGAAAATGTTTAAGAAATGACACCCATTACTTTTGTAGTCACGATAATGAATGCTGAGCCTGTAGTTGTTTAAATATCATGGTGATTTTCAAATTTTTTGCGGAAGGTTAATTACAGTATTACATAGCAAGACAGACTGTCGAGGTTGTTCCTGCTACACTGAGTTGTCACAAAAGCTAGAGGTAGTTTGAAAGAGGCTTTAGCAAATGCTTTGACGCGAAACAATGTTGTACAAGGGAAGTGGTTTACATATATTGAAGAAACCATGTGGCAAGCCAGACGCCGAGCCACTGAGCCGTGGTTATTTGCAAAGCCCTATTTTTCTTAATGGGAAATAAATTATAGTTATTCAATATTTTTAAGTTGGAATTACTGTTAGGCCAAATTGGCTTGTAGTTAAATTAGTCATGCCAAATCTTTAGTAAAATATAGGAAATGGAATCCGTCGTTTTTCTACAGAATAAGCGGCCTGAAATAAATCATTGTAAAAGGACGAGATATATTTTGCAATTAAAGACTGATAACACCGTTGTCGGGACGGAAAAGCTACACAGGTATTCTTCCAGTGCGGATGATCGCATATCGCGTTTATTGACAAGTGATGATGATACTGTCACTCACATGATACTTATATGTAAACTCTCTTTGTGCATAGTTATTAAGCAGCGTGTATTGCAGAGAGAGCATCAGTTAAAATAATATAATAGACCACCAAGTTTACTAACAATGCCACAAATATTTCGGCACAGGTTGCTGCCGAAGCTATCCAAAACATTCGCACGGTGGCCTCACTGCACCAGGAAGAGGTATTCTGCGCCAACTACATGCTGTCGCTAGCAGAGCCGCAAAGGTACGCAAGGGACATAATTTAAAGTTTATAGGCCTGCTCGTCGTCCATCCATCTCATGTGACGTAATCTCACCCATAGTAGAGCACTCAATACTGACTGTAACAAGGTTATGAATCTCAAACACGAGTTGAAATGAACGAGAAACGGGAAAAATATGCGAATTGCAGATAATACCGATAATATAAATATGTCAACTGTAGCTACATTGAAGAACATACCACAACTGCCTTATCTGTCTTTATGTATTCGTCATTGTCTCAAAAATTCATCATCAATTTGAAGATTTAAAAAACGATATCTTTTTCTTCAGCCTGAGTACATTTCACAACGTGTTGCCCACAACAAAAAGTTGAAGTCCCACAGCCGAACAAAATTGCACAGCTACTCGATTGAGTAAACTACTGTATCCTCCAAGTCAGCGGAAATTGGAACCACCTCCTCGCTTCTATGGCGACAAATACTGATGCCAAGTTGAAAAGTGTCATTCAAGACATGATGTTTTGTTAATTTGTATTGTTCAAAAACGCATTATTGTGGTATTGCATATGTCCGCTGGCTACAACTTTCAGTAATGCCCTCAGACTGTGATATTTTATGTAAGAAATAAAAAGTTGATGCATAAATAATATATAGAGTCAAGTGGTAATTGCATTAACCAATAAATGCTAAACGTCTTAGAAACATGGGGTTGACCTCGGTGGAGCACTAGAGAGGGCGCCACCACAGCGAGTAAACTTCGCTGCATCACATTGGCGTTGGCGCTGCGTCATTGCGTGCCTGCGCCTGTTGGGAGAAACAACCTGACGAAACTCGCAGTACCCGACACGTACCTCAACTGCAGTGAAAAGCAGGGAGTCGATGAAGTGAAACTATAGGTGCGCACATGCCACACAGAGAGTTCGTGAATATGCCTACTCGTGCTGGAAGTATTTCCTACATGCTTAGCTCAAACCCAGGCGTCGTTGGCACTTCAGTAAACGGAGCGCAGTTAACTATTCAAACAAGAGAATAGCTAGGCACCGTGGGACGTACTTCGTTTTGTTTGAAAGTAGAAGATGTGCCATATGTTTACGAATGATGTTATCATCAAGCACGATAGTGTACACTATAGTAGACTTCGTTAGCTTCGTTAGTGCGATAGCGTTAGCGCCTACTTCGGAAACTGAACACAAACACTAAGCATCTAGAGCATTGTGCCATCTCGTGTGTATGTTTGTGAATTACTGTGAAATAAAAGGCCCCGCCGCGGTGGACTAGGGGCTAAGGTACTCGTCTGCTGACCCACAGGTCGCGGGATCAAATACGGCTGTGCGGCTGCATTTCTGATGGAGGCGGCAATGTTGTAGGCCCGTGTGCTCAGATTTAAGTGCACGTTAAAGAACTCCAGGTGGTCGAAATTTCAGGAGCCCTCCATTACGGCGTCTCTCATAATCATACGGTAATTTTGGGATGTTAAACCCCACATATCAACCTGTGAAATAAAAGAACGGAGGAAGTTAGCGCATGTGTGCGTTTTAACATGTGTCTACTTGAGACGCAGTGAGAGGACGCTGTATATTTGCACATTTTTGTGTTTTATACTCTTCGGTATGCATTCAAATGAAATTTGCTTTGAGACGTTAAACCCCGTATATCAATCAATCAATCAATCAATCAATCACTCAATCAATCAATCAATCAATCAATCGATCAATCAGTCAGTCAATGAATCTAACGAAATTCACGTTATACTGTTATAAAGTCCACCAAAGAAACCAGTGCATGCAAATGAGAAATAATCCGCCCATCTCAAGAACGAATATGCTGCACGATGTCACGTGATACCGTCGTAGCTTCGTCCTAACAGGTTGCCAAAATTTTCTTTTTGCATTGCATGCGATAACTTGCACTTGGTGCTCATGTTGACATCACAGTTTGTCTTCGCGGTTTGTGTTGGCTCCACAGGATCATGAAGCGCAAGGCGATCGTACGTGGATTCACATTTGGCGTGGCGCAGTGCATCCCGTCAATGGCGTACGCGACGTCGCTTCTATACGGCAGCCTCCTTGTTGGACAGTGCGACCTCCAGTTCGGTAACCTGCTCAAGTAAGGCCCAATTCAAGATAGAGGTTGCAGGCTGTTTTCGAATATAGAGAATCAAATGCTCCTCTCAAGTCTCCAAAGGAAAGCATTTCGTGGCAACGTCTCAGCTTGAAAATATTATATTGACACTTTAAATTATTCTTCGTGATGATGGCAGTAGGTATTTCGGTGTCCAATGCCCATTGAAACAAATGTACAAAATTATTAGAAGTTTGTACGCAATGTAATTACATGCACAATCAACAGTGCGCGAATTGGCATAGCAGCGTCGTCATCATGCATATGTGTATATTGCAAGCCGGACAGGTGCACCTTCAAAGTCATTACATAAGTTATTATTAACGCGCCTGTCATGACGTGTCTGTGTATGACGTGTCTGCCTGATCCTTGTAGACTCATTTTAGTGTTAAGTCAAAAAAGGTGGTTCTGATCACACTGCGGTGGATGTGAGTGGGTGACACTTTCTGTGCACTTTTTTCTACCAGCAAGGCTGACTTGATCCGCCGCAATGTTGCGTTTGTACTCACAAGCGACCATCAAGAAAAATATTTAGTCAATGCTCAACTTGTGCGCCGCACTTAACAAGTCCATGTCAAGTAGTCGTGTACATGTTACTCAATCTTATACCTAATGTTTGGTGAGATCAGTCTGCTTCTTACTCACTCAGTTGTAACATATTGCGAGCAATTCATTCAACATGCAACCAACATTATATCTTATGAAGGCTACAAATATGCAGCCAAAATCAAGGCCAGGATTAGCTGCTCTTGTTAGGTTAATGATCTCATGGTACACTTCTGATACACTTTCGTCTACAGATTAGCAGTTCTTGACCGCACATGCGGGAAATTAGGTTTATGCGCGACACTGTTTCAGGTTACAGTGCCCCATAGAGTGAAATGACAGAAGAATAAAGTGATGGTATATTGTAACGTCACTGCTTGACATCAAAAGGACACTGAAGATCGCAGAAGTTTGTGACGTCACACGACGATGTCACCACAAGGCATCATTGCTTGATTGAATATGGCCGATTCTGGAAACAATGCATGACATACTTGTAGAAAGCTTTAGGGCAGGAGGAGAAAATAAAATTGACTGAGAAAGCATATGGGTCTCAAGGACCTCAAGGATGGGCTCGTAAGACTGGCACAAGTATAAACAACCTAATGCACTACCAAGTCTGCACTGAACCCTGGCCGTGGAGTGTTGCAGAGTGTAATATGGAGCCGAACTCTTCCTCCGCCAGGGTTGTGGAAGGCGTGATCCTGGGCACGGCCATAGTGGGTCAGGCGGTCTCCTACTCACCCGACTTCCACAAATCCAAGCTCGCCGCGCAGAAGTTATTCCGACTCATCAATCGCGTGCCGACCGTCGACTTCTGCGACCGGAGCGGAATCACCATGGTGAGTGCTCACTCGCCCATTGCTTCACCTTCTTTGGTTCCCGTGCATCCGGACCGATTTGTCTGGTGTGCGCCACAGAAAACTTGCGCGCGAAGATTGCTTCTCCAACAACGACCGTAGAACCTTTAGCAACACGTTAGGACACCAGCAAAAGACGCTCGGTGGTGATTTTGTACGACCTCACCCAGAGGTAGCTCCCCTTCAAGTATTCATCATGCAGTATTTTCCTCAGTTGGTATCAACACCCCTAAAAGCTTTATATAGAGAAAATGTAGATAAGTGCTCTGCATTAGGCTGCGCATTGCCTTCTGAATGTTCAAGAACCACGAACGTTTGTCTTCGGTTGATAGCGACTGCAGCTCTCTCAGTTGCTCACTTGTCACAAAAAAAATAAACATCCATTTGTATTACGTGATTTCTCGTCAATCTTCTACAAGAGTACATAAATCATCATCGTGATTAAGCATCTTCAGTCGCACAGGGTTTGTCAACTGTGCCTGACTTTGGCATCGCTGTGGGTGATGCGGGAGTTTCAGCCCAAACAGCGGACCAGAATGAAGAGCGGGAGTACTTATTGCAGATCAATGCCGAAATGTTAATCGAGTCTTTAAACAGTGTTAAATATTGGTTGCGGTTCTTATAGCTATCTGAGCTTGGGGTAATGCTGGCAAGCGTTAAGAGTGAGGTGGTCATGCATGTTGTCAATTTAAATGCCTTAGCGTTTCTATGCGGACTCAAGGAGAAAAACGTGTTTGTCTCCTTTTGTCACATACGTTGACGGATCCTATAACAAAAAAAAAATGAATGGAGCGACCTTTCATTTGTTAGGTCATAAAAATAGCAGATTTTTAGCTAGCTTTTATTGTATGAGAGGAGGATGACGAACAACAAAGTGGTTTCTTCTTTCGTGATCTTATCAGGCTGGAATAGATATATGATATAAATTCATAACATGCCATGTTTATGATTTCGACTTCCTTAGCACCTATAAATCTTCCCGCCACCGACAATAGCACCATTGAACAAAGCACGAGTTTCCAAACTGCAACGACATGAAACAATCTAAAGGAACGTTGGGCACGAGAGCTGTATGATATTTTACCCTTTAATAATAATAATAATAATAATAATAATAATAATAATAATAATATAATAATAATATAATAATAATAATAATAATAATAATAATAATAATAATAATAATAATAATAATAATAATATATATATAATAATATAATAATAATAACAATAATATTTTATTCTTCTTATTATTTTATTATTTACTATTTATCTTATTATATTATATTTATTATTATTATATTATTATTATTATTATTATTATTATTATTATTATTATTATTATTATTATTATTATTATTATTAAGCGGCGAAATTGCTAGAGTACCCGGAGTTGTCGAAATCTCTGGAGCCCTCCAGTAGCACATCCCTCCAAACCGTTTCTTCGTTTTGAAACGTGAAAGGATCAATCAATCAATTTATCAATAAAATCAATCAATCAAGCTGCCCACAATCAATCAATTATTTATTTAACGTAACCAAGAACAGCCATAATGACCTTGTGCTGGCGCTCGCGAAAAAAAAGAAGTAAAGATTACAATACAGCCACAGAAATAAAATGAAATGAAAAGGGCGAAAAAGCACAGACAAAAAAAAATCCGTGCAAAATGGCAACAATAAAATATAGAACGAGAATCACGGAATGACAGTGAAAAATGAAGGGGAATATACACAAGTGAAAGTCTTCCTGAAAAACGGGAAAGGAAAGATTCTGCACATTGTGAATAGCTATTGCAAGACAGTGCGTACCCGTGATAAAAAGTGACACTGGACTGCGAAAAGCACCAAGATAATTACATTTAACACTATATAGACTTGTATTCTATGAGCAGTACAGTGTTGAAAGAAGTTGCAGGTACATGAAATGGTCGATTCTCTCTGGTTAATTTACGTGTAATCGAAAAACTTACACAACTGAGAAGCGAAGGACAGGATATCACATCGTGAATAGGTTTAAAAAAAAATAAGAGGTCAGCGCAATTTTGTCAGGAGTGGATTGATGGCGTATTGGGGTGTATATATGATTTTATTATGTGACCCAGTTGAAATCCTTTCCGCCATACCTATGGTAGTATATCGATCCCAGTACTGGCTGCAATATTCATTAACTGGCTTAATGCTACAACATTTCTCAGGACGTGGAAAACTACACTTATTTTTCCAGTATTTCGGTCAGACTGCAAGACTGATGATTCTTATTATCAGCCGCTTTCCCTACTGTGTGCCACATCGAAGATCTTTGAGCAGCCTCTTCACAGAATATTGTATGTTACTATGAAAAATTCATTGATTCCTAATAAACTGGGGTTTCTTGCTGGATGCTGTACTACCGCAAATCTTGCTAGTTTCGCGAAGCAAATCCCCTCCCCCCCCATTTTTGTTTTTCATACAGAACAGGTTAACGTCGTGCACTGTAACCTGAGCAAGGCTTTCCACGTAGTCAGCCACTCACTGTTTTTGGTTAAACTTACAAACTTAGATATTGACTCATATGTTGTGAATCTCTTGCACATATGCTCAATAGATCATGTTATATGGCCGTAAATGATCAAACGTCTTTGTTGCACAAATTTACTAGTTGGGGCCCTGAAAGGTCAATTTTAGGCACTCTAATATTTTTAATTGGTTTATAGGCGTTTTTAGCAATTCTTTATTCTTCTTTTCTCTTGTATGCCGTACCCATCAAGATATTAGGGAAATCGATTCAGTTAATGACTGTCCCTTGCTGAAGTAAGATTTGTGTTATTCCTCCGAGTTGTGTGACAACAATAACGTTTCTCTGAAAACATCAACGACTAAGTTCATGAATATATCTCGTAAAACATCCACCAGTGTCATTTCCCTACTCTGTCTATACCATGTCGTTATTTAGGTGTATGAGTTCAATGACGTTGTTCTTTTTCACAGAATGCTCAATATTTCTGCTCAAACTAAGCGCACTGCCACGCGACGCCTTCGTTTTCTCGACTGTGTTTGCAGAACGTCTCAGCCTTCCAAAAGTTGTACACTGCAATATGTATTCCTCAACTTAAGTATGCATCTTTAAACTGGAATATTATCGCTAAATTTGGCAGTTATGACATTGAGCGAGTCCACAAAAAATCATAAGCATTCACAACTACCGTTTTGCTAGAAATGGCTTTGTATCTGGTTGGAAGACTGCCAGAATATTATCATTGCTATCACTCTGTCACAGGTCCCGTTAATTAGGAAGGCGATTGCAGGGCTAATTCCGAGGGTCAAAGTCTCGGTCTCCCGAACTGCACCACGAAAGCACGGACAATTTTGAAGTGGTCCTATTTGCTACGCCAGGGGACACCGGCTGTGGTCCAAAGAACGAGTCAGGCTGAGAGCTGATAAAAAAACAAAATTATATTCTCAAATATGGCAGATCAAACGATACACAAATATGCACACTAGACAATAGTTGAACACGATATTCACCAATCAAAATCTTACTACACACTACAATCAGCAACACTCGAAACAACGGACACAAACAACAATACGCACTACAATGCAATGAAATGCATCGAACAACCAAGACAATAAAGACTAAAGAGTTTGAAAACTTATTCAAACTAAAGTGCTTGGAACAAACTCTGAATGATACTCTTCCAAGAATCACTCACTCAAAGTCCAGCGCTGTTGTCGTTCCGCTGCTCCCGAAGTCTCTCTTCCAGGAAATCTCGCGTCTTCAATTGGCCTCTCTCCAAGCACCAAACTTCTTCGCCGGTAACACAGTCGGCTTCCCACGCGTTGCGATTGCAGGACATGTCTTCGCTCTGTGGCAGTAGTCCCACACTATTCTTCTGCTGGTAGTACCAGCCTTTACCCTTCAGGTGGAAGCCCTCTTCATCACCTGCTTTGTCACTAAAGAAAAAACCTTTGCCGATATGATACGGCGGGAAGACCCTACGCACACTTGCGCAAAACTTTCATCTTCTGCCTACGCACACGGGCGCAAACTTTCTTCTTCTCCTGATCTCCCTTCTCCGCTTTTTGCTATAATACCTTTCGCGCTAGATTCCAGAAAATTCTAATCGTTTCGTCGGTGCGAAGCACAGCCAAGGCTTGGGAAAGGGCCATACATATCGAGAGCCGTCCGCGACACGTGACGCAACTCTGCATCATCACGCCCCTTTCCTTCGAGAACCTTCCAGGGCTTGCTCGGCCGCCGATATGAGGAGGTTCGTCGGCGAAACTACGCTTCCGAGGGGGGGAGTGACGGCGCGCCCGGGGAGTCTTTGGATGCTTGTTTTCGTCTTTATCGTTGACCTTGAGGCGCCTCGCTGGCGCCTGGTTGCCAGAATTCGGTGACGCGCCTTTTTTCGAGCGCTCGTTTGTGACACAATTCACTGCCGATGAAATCCCCTTAAACTCTTCTTTCTTTACAAAGTAGTTTACGGTGTGATGTCCTGCTCTTTGCTTCTGAGATTTGTAAATTGTTGGATTCTGCGTAAGATAGTCAGACAGAATTGACGATTTGAAGTACCTATCAAAATATTTCAATATTCTGCTGCTAACAGAATACAAAGTCTATATATTGTTCACTTTTATGATCTTGATGTTTTTCACAGTCCACTGTCATTGTTTTTATCCCAGCTTCGCACTTTCATATTATAGTTTTTCACACTGTACAGCTGCTTCTATTTTTTGTATCTTAGGTTGCTTTCCACATAGTTGTGTATATTCCGCTTCATTTTTCACTACAATTACTTAATGCTCGTCTTCTGTTTTCAGTGTTTTCATTTTGCACTGATTTCTTTCTTTTTGTGCGTTTTAAATGTTTTATCTAATTTTTCTTTATATGCTAGATGTATTCATCTGATTTTTTGGATGCCTGCGCCTGCACAAAGAGCTATGGATGTTCTTTGGCACGTTAAAAAATATGGATTGGTTAATTCATCAATATAATGCTT